AAACATCTGCCTTTTGGCAGACATGGGCTGTGGTATTCACCTGTGTTTCTTTAAAATGCTAGAACTCAGTGGAAGAGATGGGGTGAATGGGGTGAGGCTCAGTGGGAGGAGAAAGGAGAAGCTTCCATTTTTTTTTTAAACTAAATTTTACATTTTTAAAAAAATAATATTTTATTTTATTTTTTCTTTAAAAACATCACATCTTCCCAGTTTTTCACTTTAACCACATGAAACTATGTACACGTAAAATACATTTAGGGTATGAGTATGATATTGTAATTGAAAAGTATAATTTTAATTTTTCTAGTTGTTTATGTCACAACTACTGCCATTACATTCAGGGATATGCGGGAATTACCATTTATGAGTAACATTAGTACAATAACATTGCTAAGGATTCTGTATAGTGTGGTATGGGAGGAGGTCAATGGGTGGGTGACACCATGAGTTACCGCACCAGGTGACGCCAACCCTGGTGATGCCACTGGGAAGTAGGAAAAGTGGAACAAAGGACAGGTTTAAAAAGAAGCCAAAAAGATAAGATTTTGCAGAACCTTTGAGACTAACTGAAGGAAAGAAGTTGGCAGCATGAGCTTTCATAGATTTAAGTCTGAAGAAGATGCAGACAGCCCAAAATGTGTCTCAAATGTGCTACAAGATCCCTTTGCATTAGAAGCCTAGTGGGACCATTTAAGTAGCAAGCCATCCTCTTTTACTTGTTTATGTGAACATCACAGATTTCATCAATGCTAACCTTGTAATGATGTTGTGCACATTGGGTAGGAGGATGCAACATAATGGGATTTAAGCCCTTAGCTTTTCTCTTAATTTAAACCGGCTACATTTCAAAATCTGAACTTCAATATCTTTTCATTGTTGTGCAGGGAAATGGCCTAATTATGCATTTTGCAAGACTATTGTAATTGCAAACAGAAAATGGAAGGAAAAGAGAATTATTACTTTGGATACTGTTGAGACAGAAAGTTTATGTTGATCCTTAAACAATTGGTGGGGCAGGAATTATTCTTAATCTGCATTCAATAATCAGTGGGTGGCTTAAAAACAATGCCATCTGAGGATGGATTATTTCTTTTACCTTGTGTAACAATCTCCAGTTTATTCTATTCAAGTAAAAAGCTATGTTACAGTGCCTGGTTTAAAAATGCATTCCCTTTTATGGAAGAGGCAGGCATCTCTGGGGGACATTTACACCTATCATCCAGAACTAGGTTGGCAACTGTCAGACAGAGAACTTTTTCTTCAGCCACCCCTAGACTGTGGAATGACCTGCCAGAAGAGATTCAACAGCTGAATATGCCATCCAAATTTATAAGAGCATTGAAAACCAGTCTCCTCTGGCAGGCTTATCCAGATTATTTTTAAATTGTGAATTTTAAATGATTAATTTTAAAACATTCAATATGTATATATCTTATTTTTCCATTTAAATTGATGTGTTTTTAACTGATGTGTTTTAATTGATGTGTGGTGTCAATTTTGTTGTTCTCTTCCTTGATCCATGGGGAGAGGCAGGTAAGAAATAATAAATAAATAAATAAATAAATAAATAAATAAATAAATAAAATAACTTGTGGTCTTCCAGAGGTTATTGAACTACAGCTCCCATTATCTCTGATAATCCCTGACTGGGGCTGATAGAAGCCCCTACCATAGGGCCTTTGCAGACTGCCAGAAATAGTGCACATTAAA